CTTTTTTGTGAGGAAAAGTGCCCCTTTTGTAGAAGCTAATGTCGCTGTAAATACTAAATTAAAACAATAGGTGCCGTTTTTGTGTGGAAATTTACAAAATTTTTTTAAAAATTAGGTCACAAACATTTGTCTGCGGGTCAGAGGTAGCCTGCGTGGCAGGCTCATCAATAGGCCTGCCACAGGTAAGGGACCGGTCATTATTTATCGTGGGGGGTGGCACCGAAGAGAAATGTTTTTCCTGGTAAAATTTTTGCTGACCCAACCATTAAAAAGCAAAAAATTGATTACCCAACCTCAAATATTAATTAAAAAATAAATACCCACCCCTGGCCAAAACCTTTACAAAAGAATACCATTCAGTTGTCACACATGTCCTTTACCACTTCTGTGACACAAGTTTGATAACTAAACTTTCATGTTGTATGTACATGTACTTTCTTTGGAGACACCATTTGTCTCCCAACAAATCGGAAAATGATCAAGATAGTGACTCTGATTGATTCACATATTGTATTGACCGTGATGACTGTTGACAGTGCTTTTCAGTCTCCAATATTTAAGTGAGTCGTGCTTTGGAGATGACAATAACTTTTTATTACCTAACCCTTGAGTTGTTTTGTTTTTCATTTACCCAACCTTTTAGTTACTCAAAATTTAGTTTACCCAGCCCTTTTCTCTTCGGTGCCACCCCCCGCCATAAATAATGACCGGTCCCTAATATCAACATAAATTTCACGTTGAGTAAACTTCATCAAAGAGCTTTGAAACGACTTGGTTTTCTCATTCAGTTTTCTGTAATTTGCCTGATTTCCAGTGGCGAAGCCAGCCCGACAATTTGGTAATGCTATATGCAAATTTTAAATCATAATCACTATTCATTTCATTAGAAATGTATTGTTTTCACGGTCTATGAACACGGACATATTTGCATAGCATGACCAAATTGACGGGCAGGCTTCGCCACTGCTGATTTCTATACTCGATGAGGCCAAGAGACTATTTGTCCGCAATATCAATATATAACGCAATCATATCCAATAAGCAAATGTGATTTTATAAATTTTAGATTCTCTTAATTCCTAAAACTATGTATATGCAAAATTCCAAAGTGAGAGCCCTGTGTTTCGTCAATTAACACGAAATAATAAATTCCTGAAAACCGGAAACGTGTAACCGCACCCTGCACCAAAACTTAAAGCGTGGCAAAATATAGAAATATTAGAGAGTATATAAAGTATATTACAATTTCAGCGTGGTAAATTGCTGTATCAAATTCTATTTTCACGAGTTGGTCAACATTGGAACGCCATGAAGAATATTAGGTGAGTCAAAAACAATTGAAATCATGCCTAATACCTATGTATCAGATAAGTGTCGCAACACAAAGAAATGCAATGACTTTGTGAGATACTGCTACTCTCCCTGGCGCAAAGATTGCGCATATAAAAAGATATTTGGCTCGAATATGCGCAATGGAGAAAGCCTTCGCGCAATTTTACAAAATTTGCCGAGTCTGAATAATTCGCTCGGTCGTCGCTTAGATTAAATTCACCATTGTGGACCTATCAGGCATTTGATTCGAATGGCCCAAAAGCGATACGGCGACAAAAGAATGGCTTGTCAAATGAGCCGTCTGATAAATAATCTGCCTTCGTGTAAAATAGCTTGGCGTATATGCTGACAATGTTTCTAGGAACAAAGCAATAAAATCATGTCTGATATATTTTCTGGTATATATGTTTGGTAATATGACTAAAGGTAGATTTCAAGGAGCGAGTGCTTTTAGCAGAACTTAGCTAGTGTTGTGGAAACGGGCAAAATTGCCGTAAAAGTGATGATATTTTCATCATAATTGTATATGAGGTCTCAGCAGTTAAATGCGAAGGTAAATTAAGCAAGCTTTTTTCAGGAATTTCCCTGATTTATATTACACACGGGCAGTGCTCTCACAATCAAATTTTCGAATTCCTTAGAAAAAGCTCGAAAATTCCTCAGATTTCCTTAAAATTCCTTAAATTGGTAAAATTACTACAAGGCCTGATCACAGAGTTGCAAAAAGTGTTTTTTCACCTGATTTACCTGAATTTTTCGAACTGAACGTTCTTTAAAACCGTATTTTTTGAAAATTTGAAGTTTCTAGACCGTCGGAAATGGCATTTTTAGAGTCTTTCCTACCCAATATTTTAGTATTGCCTAACAATGAAGATAAGTATTGCTACTTTCAGTTTATAATGGGAAATTGAGAAAATTTTGGAAATTTGGAGTCTCCAGATCGTCAGAAAGGGTATTTCACAACACATCTCAACGTCTTTAGTTTGTTTGATTGTTAACTCCAATTCAGATTATAGAGTTCACTTTTTTATGCCCTGAGAATTACCTGAATTTACCTGAAAATCTACAGGATATCTACCTGAAATTGTTCATGAGCAATATTAGGGCTCGCTAGGGCCCTGTGAACTTAGAAAATCTGTAGATTTCAGAAGAAACAGCATACAGCTGACATTTAACTTTTGAGAATTTTAATGGAAAGACAACCATATGTACATTTACGACATAGAGAACATACGAATATATGTAATTATGTGCATATAATGTTGCTACTTTCAAGCTTAATTAAATCTCATGTGCGTGGCGTGGTTATTCTCCGTCAAACGTTTTTTGTCCAGGATAAAATGTTTCGGAAATTCCTTAAAAAAATCCTCAAAAACCTAAATTCCTTAAAAAAATCCTTAAAACTCTCCAAAATTCCTATTTTTAAGGATAATTTCTTAAAAGTGAGAGCACTGGATCCGGGTCTTGATCGCCGTTTCTCACTTTCGCGCACTGAGCTTTCGCGGCGAAGCATAGTACCAGTGTACTTCATGTACGTCCACACCATAGGTCCTCAAACCACAGTGGCTCGCCAGGCAGATAGAAGCTAACTGAAACATACCATATGGAGAGGCAATTCCATTTTTCCTTCATCTCGTGCCGTAAAGGCTAGTAAATACATTTCTGTATGTCGGCAGCGTTAAACTATCTTGTAGGCTCTTGCCGACATCTTGTAGGCTCTTGCCGACATTCGAATTTTGGATAAATTTAAACTATATTATAGACTAGGAGTTACTATCGCAAGGAAAATGCTGCCTTTTTTGCCACATGAACTGAATGCAAAACCACTCTAAAGGGGAGTTTACTTTTGACCCAATGAACGTATTCTTAAATTGCGTGCACGGAACATGAGTAAATAACTTATAACCAACGTGAAAAAGTTGCCATTGGGTCAAAAGTGGATAAACGGCATACCCATTAGCTGACAATGCACCCCACTTTAGTATTAACTCTGTCTAACGCCAGACAAATTTACACTCTGTAACGCCAGACGATTTTACTTGTCAGTTGTAGAGTACTGTCAGTATCTGCTAATGTCTCTTATTAACCGCCATGCATTGGCTGGCAATGGGCCACACTTTAGTATTTACTGCCTATCCACTACCTGTAGGAAGCAATTTTGTATTGGGGGAGCTGATTAGTCAGGGGCGATTATTAGGTAATTATATCCCTCTCAAACTTCACAGATTATCGCTAGTTTACAAGTTGTTTTTTTTTGGGGGGGGGCGGGACTGAAGACCACAGACCCCCGGTTGCTACGGCCCTGCTATCAACGCCATACAATTTTACTCGTCCGTGCCAGTAAACGACTTAATTTCTCGTAACCCCAATTTAAATTTTTACGATTTTTGCTGTTTCTAATTGTAGATTTTAACTTTTAAAATATAGATTTTAATTCTGAAAATCAAGATTAAGATATTACAATTTATATTTAAAAAATCTAAATTTACGAAAACATTACTGAAATGTTTCATGTTTGATCAGTAATATCCCCCGCCCCAATCTTGATCCATCCCGTCACTGGGCCTGGGCCTCATCAGACGTTGCTCATTCGTCGTCCTTTTCAAGACCCCAGCACGTCGCTGGAGTCAATATGAGTAAAATACTCCTAATATTAAAGCGCTTTCGTGTAGGAAGTTTCGTATGAATAAGGCTAGTAGAAATATTTATTTTGAATTTTTCAAAATATAGGGTTTTTACTCGCACGCGCGCGCCACGTGTATGCTTGGCCATATATAGCCCGATGCACGTGCAAACCATGCCACTGGGAGTACTTTGACCTGTAGAATCGATTTCCGGTTTTTCCAAACCCCTAGGATGTAAACGGTTTTCACTTGTTTCCATCTACCAAACTGACATTACGTCATTTGATCAATTTCTAAAGTTGTTTCTTTTTGGATTTTTTAATTAATTTGGTTAGGGTTAGAGCTAGGGTTGCGGTTAGGGGTTAGAGTAGGGGTAGGGTTGGGGCTACAGGGCCGTAGGAAGCTCTTTTCGATTGGGGGGGGGCTGAAAGCGAGGGCCGAAGGCCCGAGGAAATTTTTAAATTTAGAGTCTCTAAAATGCCATTTCCTGGACTTTGGGGGAAGATTTAACAGAATTCTGACAGTCAGAAAACAGCGTTTTAGTATGTCGAAATTTACAGGAAAGTATGGGCCAGACTGTAGTATAAATGCGCGGCGGGAATTTTCGTCGTAAATGGCAGTTGCGCGGAAATGAAGGCAGAACATTTGAGAAAATTTCGAAAATCTGGAGTCTCTAGATGGTCTGAAATGGCATTTTCAGAGTTTTCTTTCGCAAGACCCAACACGCAAAAGACATTTCTTGAAAATGCGCGACAGAAATTCAGCTAAAATTTCTACGCGAGGAACGATCTGGAGTATGAGTAATATCTTCATTCTTTGCAGTTTGTCACAGATTAAATGATAAAGTTTGCATGATTTTGAAAAAAGAATGATTATTAGCAAATTATTGGGGGGGCTGGCTGCAGCCCCCCCAGCCCCCCGGTTGCTACGGCCCTGGGCTAGTTACATAGCCATTTAACACCTCTTCAATCTTCTGAAAATGACGTCATGTCAGTTTGGTGGTTGGAAACAAGTGCTGACCGATGTAAACAGCTGTTTTGATGTACGTTTCACGGGCCGCGCTAAAAATATAAATATTCTGTAAATACCGAAATAAAAGATGAAAATCTGAAGACACAAGCTTGAAAATAACACTGTGAATAATGTTGTGGATTCTGGTTCGAATGAGACTATTACGAAAAAGATATGTCCAAAGGGGCCGAAGTTATGTTCGGCGAAATGTATTGCTAGTTTACATTGTTCGTTTATATATAATGAAATATGATACCATACCTTACTTGTTAAAATTCGCGTCGTACTATTATTGTATTAATATTATGCAAATGAGAACCATGCAATAAGTGTTTTAGTTCTTGTTATTTTAAACGCACGCTTTATCTTTACTACCACAACGTTTTTCGCACGGATTATATTTCCGCAGTGCTAAAATTTGCTCACCCAGCGCTGCGCGAATTCTAGTACTGCGCGAATTTTAATACTGTAAGACATTATACATATTGTGCCATTTTGGACATTTGACTAATGTCAAAATAAAATTATAATGACAATACATTACTCGACTTTGAACAAACAATAGTTTATAAATTCTTAAAGCTAGATTACAGTCCATTCTGCGCATGTGTCAAAAATGTAAACAAATGTGAGCACACTTGTTTTGATTTTGTGTGCTCCCCAGTCCTTATTCGGATACGCGCGTTCATGTGAGACACTAGTTGAAAAGGATTTTACTACATCCCGGGCGTTCTTTGTCAGTGCCCGCGATCACAATTAGAATTACCAGCGGTTGAGTTCGCAACTCAATATTCAAACATTTTCAACCAGATAAAAAAAGATTAAAACTTTTTTAAGGCACTTTAGATTTTATACCGATCCCAAACACTAACCGGCCTAACTTTTAAGAGTTAAAAAAGGAAGGAAGAAAAAAATTACAAAAAATTGAGAAAAAGAGCTAAATCAGATAATAAACGTTCGGCATCGATCCCGACACCGACTGCGTTTCACTTTCGGTACGCAGCGCCTTTACCGCTTGAGCTAACGACAAACTTGTGAAGATTACCGCAAACAAAAGTTTTTATATTGCTACAAAATACGAAATAACTCCCGTCTGTCCAGTCACTTGGTTATTTTTTATTTGAGCTGCTATAAATGTTACTAGCTCATATAAGATCTGTGAAACTAGTGCTAAAACATAAACAGTTTTGTCAAAAAATTAAAAGGCAATATGTCTGGATCAAATAAACTGACTAGAAGCAAACTGATATCTTGAAATATAGATTAACATGCTGACAAACTGTTACAGTTTAATCAAGTTATAAATTCACATCGAGTATTATATAATTTATATTTGGCTTTTAAGATGTTTTCTTTCAAACATTGTGATTTCAGGAAACACTCGATGTTATCATCATATACCGCTGATAATACTAATTGTGATCGCGGGCACTGACAAAGAACGCCCGGGATGTAGTAAAATCCAGTTGAAAATGGCCGACTCGCAAGAGTTAGAGCCATCTACTTCGACAGAGAATCCTTCAAACGCTGATCGCCAAAACAAACCAGCTGATCGAAAAGCATATTTCGCAAAAAGAAATGCATCCAAAGTGTGTTTGAATACCTCTATTGAGCGGTGGAAACGGCTGAAAGAGGAAAATGATATCAAGAGTGATCAGGAGTTTGCGGATATTCTGCTAAACTTGTACGAGGTATCAGGACATCATTCATCGATTCAAATGCGGTAAGCATGTAACTCTGGACTTTTTTAGTATGCTCATTTTGTTGCATTTTCTGATTACAAAACTTTATGTTGCATTTCTAGCGCTGTGGAAACCCAGACAAACGATCCAGATGAAACAATGGAGTCATTGTTTGGCTTTGACATGGGCCTCATTGCTACAAGTACCCCTCAGAATTTCGGCAATAATCCTTCGCCACGTGAGTTTATAACATACTTATTCATGGACATATACAGAAAACATTCATTAGATTTTGGTTGACGTTGTTAATTTATTAATTTTATATTTTGCATAGTTTTATCTGTCCCTTCGAATATGTCAGCTGTATCAAGTCGAAGACGCCTGATACCCGATAGTTCCCCGCTTGGCTCCCCGCCAAGGTTTGTATGATTTATAAAATGATATCTTTAAATGGTGCATTTCTCTATGGTATATATTCGTTGTTATCGCGATAATGTCTTCATAGGCATACTCATGATGAAACACTGACAGCCAGTGAAGTTGACAGTGACAGTGACAGTGAGACCCTTACTGCTCATGGTTTATCTTCTGTCCATGTAACGCAAGAGTAAGTCTGATTTAATATTTGGTTGGCATAACGCAAATGAATGGTTGACAGGTTTTGTTCATGGAAATGATATATTAAAAAATTATATACATCTACTAGACCTATTAACCAGGAACAACTGCGAAAAATGCAACTACAAGACCTGTAATGTCATTTTCTGCATCTGTTCCTGGTTAGGTCTAAATGTATATAATTTTTTAATATATCATTTCCATCAACAACGTCCCTCAGTAAAATTTAATACCATTCTACAGTAGACTGACAAAAAGTTCGGAACTCTGCATTTTGTAAAGTGGTTGCTTAAAACTGCTGCTTTAAAACCTTTGGAGTAAATACATAGCATGTGTAGAACAAAACAATTAAAAAGCAAAAAATATTTTAATGAAAATGGTGAACAGTTGTGACACTCAAGCTGCTGAAACGTTATCACTAGCTGTTTAGAATAACAATCTTGGCTCACATACATGTCCACAAAACTACCAAAATGCATGCATAATACATAATACACACTTTTAAACTTTTTTGTCCACCATTTGTCACTAGTGAAAGTAGTGTAAATTTATTAATAACACAAAGTCTTTTATCTAAGTTTGGATCAGACATACCTAGAACTGCCAGACGAAAATGACATATTCAACATAACCATTAATGGGCATGATGGAGATGAAATTCACCAAGAACATGAAGATAAAGGCACTGCACCACATGAATATGTCTCCACTGTCGATGTGGTTACTCCAGAGGAAGCCATAAAGATGGAAAAGTGCATTGTGTTTACAGACACTCTCATGTTGTTGATAACGTCTCTACATGGGAGTGTTTGTAAACGTGCAAATTGTGGTCATCCCTTACATTACAAGAAAACCTATGTTGGTACTTGTCTTGTTGTGTCCTGGGGATGTAATTCTGGCCATGTTGGTGGGAGATGGTCAGCACAGCCATCTTGTGACAAGATTCGAGCAGGCAATCTCATACTTGCTTCTTCTCTGCTGTTGTCTGGGAATTTGTATGCTAAAGTGGGGTTGATGTTCAACTTTTGTAATCTGCAGTATTTTTCATCTACACTGTTTAAGTTGTAGAAGTAAGAAGTTGTACATCATCCCTGCAATCAACAAATTCTGGGAACAGCACCAGAAACAACTGTGGAAAGAGAAGGCTGGTAAAGAGGTTGTTTTAAGTGGTGATGGAAGAAATGACTCTCCTGGTCACAGTGCTCAGTACTGCACATACAGCCTTGCTGACATGGATGATCAGGCCATCCTCCAAATGAATGTTGTTGATGTGAGGGAGGCTTCAGGGAAAAGTAACAATATGGAGCGAATTGGTTTTGAAAGAGGGATGGATGCATTACTCACATCAACAATTGTTCTGAAGGAGGTTGTGACAGATGGCCATCTTGAGATTGGAGCATTGATGAGTAAGTTTTATTACAGCATGGCCACTGTGGTTATGAACTTGTGAACTGTCATGAACTTTGTGGAATGAAGTACTGGTATTGAATTACAGTAGTGCTCTGCTCAAAACAAATATGGATGTCATCTAATCAGAATTCACAAAGTCTTTTTAATAAATAAGAGAACAAATTATTTTATAGAAAAACAAGACAAGTACAAAAACATCCTGCATCAGAATGATGTCTGGCATGGAGGGAAAAACATAGCCAAGAAAATCAATGCTGTAAGTGTTTCAACAAATAAATCTATCATCTATCTATCTATTGAATTGTATAAAATATGCCCATCTTGGATACTTTGTCTAGTTGTTAGACAATATTTACTTGTCTAAAACACCAGGCAATTTTACCCCAGTTCATGAATGTGATCAAATCCATTGAATTGTTATCTTATACCTCCTCATTATTTTAAGGCTGCAAAGGCCAAAGGAAATGGTGATCTTCTATTTTGGGGACCATCAATACGGAACCATTTTTGGCACTGTTCAAAAACCTGTGGGAATGATTCAAAAACAATAAAAGTAAGATTGACTATTTGGCTTATAGTACAAGCATCCATAATTACTACTGTACCTTCAAACGTGGATTAATCAAAACTTAGCCAGTGTGCCATGTATACATTAACAGCATATACATTATAGAGGATCTGTTTATGGATTTGATTGTTCTACAAATAATCTGTTGACAGTACTATGTACAATTAATTACAATAACACATACAATGTTAGATGTACAGTAAATCTATATTTAATTACCACATAATAGGATAACTGGATTGGAATTTTGCATCATGTGGCTGATGAGCATGAATGGGTGGTGCCAGAAGGTGTGAATGGAGGAAAGTGTGCACATGAGCCATTGAATGCAGAGGATAGAAAGAAGCCCTGGCTGAAGAAGGAGTCATCTGTTCATAAAGCATTGACGAAGATTGTGATGGACACTCGATTCATCAACACACTTGTATACTACACCAACTTCAGGTACTTGCCTATTGTAGGTTGATGACATTGTTTAATCAAACCTGCATTAAGCAGCCTGGCCCTGGTATTAAGCGGACACTCTATGTTAATGGACACATGCACTTGGGATGTTGATCGACTGTCAGCAAGCGCAAAATACTTGGCTGCTCGAGTATTTTTACGCTTTCTGAAAGACTTGTGACATCTCTTGTGCATGTATCACACAATCCTGCACGAAAAACCTTTAATCAAGTGGACACCTCTAATTTTAAAGCAGACGCTGACACCTAAATTGGCACATAGACCCAAAGATGTGTTGTTAAAATTTTCATAATACTTACAATTCTTGTGCTTTCAAATTGTTCATTGTATTACTATTCTTATGACTGAATAACTAATACTAATGTGCATTTCTGCTATAGGCACACAGGCTTTCTTGAATCTTTTCATAATCAAATTCTGATGTATGCTTCTAAAAGACACGCTTTCTCGTAAGTATTAATAAAATTTGTGCATAATTAATAATGATAAATTAATTACTAATTGTGATAATGCTGTAAAATTGCAGAAAACATGCTGTTTGCTCTGAATGATATGAGAAAATCAATTGCACATACATTATATGTTCAGAAAACATGTTGTTTGCTCTGAAATATAATATTAGAAAATCACTTGTACTGTAAAAAACAGTATACTGTACATGTATGTTCACATTTAATAAAAGTGCTGTATGATAATAACATTTATCTATATGCAGATTTGCTACATACCGGGCAAGAAATCAACTTGCTGCCTTGGATTTCAACCATCATAGAGGTCGAGGAACAGCAACAACAGCTGATGGCAAACCAAGGTAATATATATATATATATATATACAGTATTCTTCTACAAAATATCTACTGCACAGTATTGGAATGTACAGTCAATTTTGTCTATTCTGTAGGTATGGACGCATGTTCAGCAAGCGAACACAGCGATGGTGCCATGTTCGTATTCTTACACCTAAGCAATACGAATACATTCCTGAACTTATCCTGAAGGTACAGTATAACATTTGTAAAAATGCTGTGCTGATTGGTTATATTACTACCTTAAAAAATAAGCAGAAACTCGACGTTTCGAGCGAAGGTCCTTCGTCAAGAGTTAGTAGCTCTTGACGAAGGGCCTTCGCTCGAAACATCGAGATTCTGCTTATTTTTGAAGGTGGTAATATAACCACTCAGCACAGCATTTCTACATTGGTACTACCTACACTGGTACAAGACAGTGTTAGTATAACATTAGTAAGCTTTCATTGTAGCTGGGCTTAGATATCAAAACCTTTGATTATACTGTAAATACTATAGCCATTATGTTGTACACAAAAATAAAATTAATTATAATCCTTCTGCAGGTGTTTGAGCAAAGGATCAGTTGTGAGGGAACCATTGATAACAGAATTGGTATCCCAATTGATGACCCAAGGCAAATTGCTCCGAACATTGCAGCTATTCCTCCCCCTTCAGTCAGCTTACTTGTTGAAACTCATCAATCGAGATTCAATTGATGACCAGTTGACCACACACAACTGTCTGTCACTCTCAAACTAAGTGATCTGGGTAGGTGGAGCTCATCAGCCTTGGTAGGCAGTCCACCTAGGAGAAGGAAAACTCCCGGACCCTATTAATAGGTCAGGCTGTACATGTCGGATTCATTGATTTTATCAATATTTCTTCAATGTTTCCTAGGCATGCTGATGAGCTCTGATATAGAGCGAAACAGCCTTGGTTTACTCGTTAACTTTATGTGACGATTGGTAATAAGGTACAAGAACATTTGAAAAAAAGGGCAGTTTTCAGAAAGAGACAATATAAAAACTCACACTGTTTCCTTTGTTGTCATAATATACTGTATTTGATCAACCACATGTGCTACCGTGCTATGAATAAAATAGTACTATACATAAAGTAAATATTTATACCATTAATTAAACTGTTATAATAACTGAAATTAGTAGACAGAGTAAAATAGTAATATTGTAAACAATGTGCAGATTGCCACTTAGCACAATGACTCCTAGTTAGGTATTTTCCCTTCCTAAATCTAAGTAATAAATGGACATGTTTGGTAAGGAATGTTTTTGCTCAAATTGACCTGTTGAGTAATAATAGTCTTGACCAAACATCAATTACCAACTTACATTTTACTTGCTGAAATTCTAATAATATTAAATTGTGTGCAACTAATATTCACAGCCTTGCAGGCTGATATCCTGTGTATATTCCATTTGGAGAAGGGTAGCGAGTCCGTATCGCCGTAACACAGCAACTTGGGATGACTCTCCTGTTCCCTCTACCTAACCTTCCATGTTGCCACAGTATGTATTGCCGATATGCGGCATGGCGAAAGTTTTCATTGTTCCTTACATTGTTTAAAACAAGAAAGTCCTCTCTATAACGCATTGCTATATTGAGCACATTGCCATCAAGCACTAGTTGCTGGAACAGAGGGACTGTGGATATGCAGGGCCGTATTGCTCGTGTGCAGCATTTGTTTTCTAACTGTGTTGGCATAGCTACACAGTGTCCACAATTGCACCAATCTGGGACATTGTCAACTGGTTCCGGATCTGGTTGAGGTGGTGCATTCCCACCTGGCAATTCGCCATGCTACATTTTCAGCATCTTGCTCTTCCTCAACAAGTTGCCCCCTTCCACGTCCTCCACGCCTTCCTCTTCCACGTCCACCTCTCTGTTGCCCTCTCCCCCTGGCACGACCTCTCCCCCTGCCTCTAGCTCTGCCACGACCTCGCCTTCCTACATCCTCTTCCTCACTTTCCTCCATGGATGATTCTGAATCCTAAAAATAGAAGAGTATTAAAGAAAGGGAGCAATGGGCCATTCCATTTAATATAGGCACCCCCCATATTGAGGGGTCCTTTCATAATCCCCTTAGGATATAAAAATTTTAGAACCCCCTTGGATGAGATTTTTGGAAGTTACCCCATGGATTTCTTTATACCCTCTTTAGGATATCGTTTTTACCCCCTTGGATATGCATAAAACACCTAATTTTTGCTATTTTTTTGAAAATTTCTTAAGCTACCCTCTAGGAAATTTTAAAAAAACCCTCCCCTCCCATAGGATTTCCAGACCCTCAATAGGGGGGTGCCTATATTAAATCGGAATGGCCCAATATGTCAGCAATTCTTCAATTGCAAACACAAACTGAAATAAATTGCTAATTATCACATGAAAAGGTCACTTTAATAATTGATCATTCTCATTGATTAGGATGTGAACAATCAGATGAACAACATAATATACTATCTCAAATAACATACATTGCTTAGGCCGTAATATTTTGCGTAAACAAGATACGATGTTCGCAAGTTCAGCACATAACGTACGTGCAGAATAGAAATACGAACTTACCGTCTGATCACTGTCGCTCTCTTGAGCTCTCCTGCTATTCATGCAACGACCGAAATTATCGCCGTGGCACGAACTAGAGCAAAAACTGCCAAGACTTTTGCACGGACAGAAGTTTCTCCCTCTCTCACGCATACAGATGCCACGACAAGTACATGTTGTCATATTATTGTCCATGTTCGGAACTTCCGCGGCATTCTCCAACTCGCTTCTCTCCAAATCTTCTAATGCTTCTGCCATGATAGCAACAATGACTTTGACAATGTGTTCGACCAACAAATACCCCAAGGAAAGATTCATGATTACTTTGACACTTCCAAAGTTTATTTTACAATGCCGAACATTATAAATAAACACAATGAGTTGCGGACTCGCACCTTTGGCTTCGCTGTGTCGGTCTCTTCTGAATGTCCCATCAACGAGGCACACAAAAAACAAATGCCGAATTGATCAACAATATATGTTCCATTGGTGATCTTTCAAAATATTTAATTGCTTGTCTTTCAGAAGACAATTTAAAAAAAATTAAGAACTCCACTCCTGACTCGGACCGCCATCATTTATTTAGTGCATAGCCGCTATACTTCATATTATACAATTGAAGTGGATCCAAACCAAAACAAAAAATGTAAACAAAGCACGCACATGCGCAGAATGGACTGTAATCTAGCTTTAAGCAATGGTCAACTATTTACCTGTTGCCACTTACACCTTGTCTGTGGCATACCTCTGTAAACACTGTGTTGCTGCAAATGCAGTCCCAAACTGTCAGCTTGATGCTGCATAATGAAATGCCAAATTTAATTAGTTGCTGCAAATGCAGTGCTGAGAGCCAAATTTTCAATTTGTCCCTGGAAATGCAGTGCCAAAATTTCCACATGGCGCTGCAAATGCAGTGCCAAATTTTCAATTTGTCGCTGCAAATGCAGTGCAAATTTTCAATTTGTCCCTGGAAATGCAGTGCCAAAATTTCAACTTGGCGCGGCGAATACAGTGCCAAATTTTCAATTTGTCGCTGCAAATGCAGTGCCAAAATTTCAACTCGGCGCTGCAAATGCAGTGCCAAATTTTCAATTTGTCGCTGTAAATGCAGTGCCAAATTTTCAACTTGGCGCTGCAAATGCAGTGCCAAATTTTCAAATTGTCAATTTGTCGCTGCAAATGCAGTGCCAACTTGCAGTGAGAAATATAAATGCTTCGTAGTTGCGATATCGGGCAAAATATCTCCGTTTTATCATCGTTTTTATTCGGGTTGCAAAATATAGTATTATATATATTAAAGATTTGTCAACAAGATAATTTCCCATTCCTGCTAAATATGCGTGATTCTACAATAAACGACATTGCTATTCTCATTTGCTTCAAGATCATTCAATTTCATTAAAATTTCTTGCAATGCTGCAGTTCTTGATTTTATTGGGTTTTGTTGCCAATATTAATAAAATATAGGGAATCCCGCATGAATGAATAGACGGATTTCAAGAATCTCATTATAATTTTATTCCAATTATTAGCAGCATATTGGTCAAATATCGTGCAAAAACTGCAGATTTGTTTAGGTTTTGACCGGAATTCAGTATATAGAATATTTCACTTTGCTATAGAACGTGCTTATTATAGACCTTATGCATAATGTGTCAAAAGGCTTGATGCCTACAAGGAATGGTGGTCTTAATAGTCATCGCCCGGAAAAATTTGGATAGTGGCCGTTTTGAATTTTTTTAATATTCCCGGGCGATAACTACAAAGATCAGCATTCCTCGCGGGCATCAAGCCTTGTGATGTCATTATGCATAAGGCCTATTGCCCATGCCAGACAGTCGCTATGGCATCCTTTGCTCAATTTAATTGAGGCAGAAATACTTAAAATTCATGCACGTTCGCCTGATATAAATCCGATTGAGAATATATTCCATCTTGTGAAATCTCAGTTGAATACACAGGCAGTAACAGAGAATATCACCAGTGAATCTTACAAACAGTTTCAAACTCGAGTTCTTCAAGTATTGACAACATTCGCTATCGTCATTATTGATAAAACAATTGATAATGTGCGGCAAGCGAATAAATAAAATAATTTTGTCAAACACAAAGGTGTATACAACAAAATACTGAATAATTATAGGTATATTATTAATATTAACGTATTAATATATGTAAACAATTGTCCGATAATATTTCTTGTGAACAGTGCTCACATATAATAAATCGTTCGTTATAACTTGTACCAAAGAAATTTTAACCCACATTGCATTGAGTTCATTATTGCGCGAGTTGGTCTTTATACTGAAACGAAGAACGCCGTGTTTCAAAGAATTTTAATACCATTTTTAATAGTGCTCACTCAAATCCAACTATAAAATGTGCATTGTTTACAAACTTATGGCGTTGGTGGTGAGAAATGTTGAAAATCTTATAAACAAATTCTATTTTGCCTTAAAAAGTAATTGTATAGGTACGCTCAACCGTTAATTCAACAGTAAGTACCATTGTTTGATGTTTATGGTAGATTCGTCTTATTTCTTTACGATTTCTGAGTGAGAAATTTACGATTACGAACGTGAACTAATTAAATGCCATATTTCACAGACAGTGTTGGTAATTATTAAACCAGTCATACGTCAAATTAATCGTATTGAAACATAATAGCGGAATCGTCTGCTTTTGTGCAGAAAGTTCTATTAAATCCATAATCCAAACAAAATCTAGCTATTTTCTTATGTTTTAAATGAATAAAAAAATAATTTGAATATAGGTACACTTTCAGACAATCATGGCCAAATGTTTGTGGAACGCAAGCTAATTAATAGGTAAGGCGTGCGAGTTTATAATATTGTCACAGATTTCACAAAAACTTCCCCGGCCCCCCTTTCCAATGTTGATTCTAACGTTAGGCTACTAAATGAGTTTGTGTGATGCTTATTCCGAGCAGAAAACAATCCCAAACAACATTGCCTGGGGGAAGGGCGGTTTATTATTCAAATTAAGGGTAAAAACACGAAATCGCACTTTACGTTCCACAACATTTGGCCATGATTGTAGCTGCACTAATAACATATCTTCAAAAAAACTTAACGCTCGAAGGAAGTTCTTCAGGTATATGTATTTTAGGATTTTCTCCGTACACTGCTTTCTCGTGGCTTATCTGACAATATCTTGGTCATCGTAGATGTGAACACAAAGAACTATACACTTATATTGTTCCATATATTAATACGCATACCAGGCCTACTCTGGGGCGGTAAATCGCCTTAAATCGCTGCGATATAATGCGATTTTGGGCGATTTTAGGCGATATAAGGAAAACTGGGACTTTCAAGCACTGCGATTTAATGCGATTTTAGGCGATTTAAGAAAATTTTTTAAATTTTAGGGATTGCAATTTAGTTGTTTTCAAAGGAATTGAATGTTATATTTTGCTCCGGTTTCCTCCCACAAGGCAAAATTGGCAGGGTGGGTTAGGATAAACACAGTTAGGAAAGTAATATCATATTCTCATTGTTGTAAAGATAAATAGTCTAGGCTAACATAAGTAATCATAGTACTTGATGTAATCGGTCACTGAAAAGCCCCAATATGGGGAGTGAGCTGAATAATAATGTAATGTTTCCACACACATATGCATTATATGAAGCAAAATACAATTATTAGAACATGTATGTACATTTTACATAAAGCTAGGTTAACTAATTATTGTATTTAACCTGATTCACATATAAAGCTCAATATTCATGAACTTTCCATCCATTCTCTATTTAGAAGCCATTGGGGTTCATCTTGTGGGGTCATGTGGTCATTCATGGCTACAATCAGTTTCAAAGGTCTTGGGACAGATGCCACAAAACTTTTGAATTTCAACAAAACGTCAATCCCCCCGCCCCCCTGTTCAATGTTGTGTCCCATTTCTCGTCAGGTTTGATTTGGTTTGGTTGGAGCAACATTGATTGGGGTGGGGGGAGGGGGAGGGGAGCGGTATTGTGTGTAAAAAACTGTAATGATCCACTTACAATTTTAAACTACATGTTTCCCAACAACTTCTGAAAGTGATTGTCTGGGCCCCATATGCCATAACACCATTGTATATCTCAAAAGTACAGGGGATAGAATGCTCTGCGAACGAAGTATTTCTGCTCCATTTTGTTTACAGAAGATCTAATATAACATTTTAAAACAATTAAGTTCCATTAAAATTCTCAAAGTTAATAATTAACAGGATATGAATATAACTTGTTATGTCATATAGCATTCTTAATCGTTGTTTGTTTTTACAAATTTCGGCAGAGCACAAGTGGGTTATTTGAGAGGTTATATAGTCCGTCGATATAAAGATAGGTATCGCGAATGTTTTACGCTAGATATGTCACACTTACTGTTAATTTATAGCATAGTAATATAACATCCGGTTACTTTCGCATGCGGGTAACGGCTGAGTCAACTGTTAATTCGGGTACTCCGAAGGTAAAGAGCGTTTGCTTTATAATCACTTATGGTCAATGTGACATTTCACATCTTTCTAGAGCACAATTTGCAGGTATAATTGTCGACGCGTGGGTAGGAAGGAGCACTAAGTAGGTGGGAATGTCGGAGGCTCATGGAATGGGCGGTAGTCACTTCCACACGGCAAAAAAAAATTGTCCGCAAGATCGAGGTGGCGAGCTTTCGCTAAGCTCGAGAAGAGTAAATGTGGTATTTAATTGAAACTTTCCGCAGACAATCTCAAAAATTACTATTCAGCGTATTCGTACGTGGTAAATTAAAGGAAGACCCGGACTTGGTGATTTCTCCATGGCTTATAGACCTCCCCAATGGCTGACGCGTTAGCGAGTACTAGCCCGACCAGCCGAAGCAAGAAAGTTGCACAGGCTTCCAAAAATATGTAACGAAACGGACTCGCAGTATACGGCGTTGTACGCATTATACAACACTGACGTTAGTGTTATACGCTAATTATGCTAATAAGCGTTTCCGGACGAGACGAATGCAATGAAACTAACATCGGTTGACACTTCGATTGTCACTATAGAAATATGAAATAACAGGCAACTAGACATCTTTTAAAACAGAACAAGGCTAAGAATAATCTGTTGAGAATGTCTAACAATGTATTTGCTATTAATGAAAGGGTTTGAAATTGATTAAACCAAGTTTTGGATCGATTGAACTTTTTTACATAAATAAATCTGATATATCATAGTGATATTTCTAGAGTTGAGTGTCAATCGATACATTTTATACAATTTATATACTTTGTGATTAAGTAAAACCCGTAATATATCAATAAGCGCTCCCTAAACACGTTTGCTTAGTACTTAATGTTCTGAAAATGATTATGCCGCGACAATTGAAAGTTATATCAATGAAAATGCTATGTGTTTCAAAGTGACAACCGAGCACGTGTTCATGCCGTTTTATATTACATACATGTTTTCATGTCAAATATGCACAATCTTTAAGTGGTCTTCGATAACTTACCTTTGCATTTTATTTAGCATTAACCTAGGTCGATAATTAACCAGATAGATGTGTTTTCTGCCTTGCATATAGACCAGGTTTAATCGCTCGTCATACTACCCTCCCCACACTAACATCTTTCAGTATAAGCTCATTTATAATACACTGCTGGATTGTGTTACATTTCAAAGATATTGACCACAACCGAAGCACAATAAGGACGTTGCATATGCCAATGCAATTCAGTAAACATGTTATACTAAATGCTATATGATTTTCGCAAAACTGATATTCTAAAACACCCGGTAATTCAAACAGGTTAAATATGCCTTTCATTGCCTTTCAGACAATCAGTTTCAAAAGTCTTGGGACAGATGATACAAAACCTTTGAATTTCAACAAAACGTCAATCCCCCCGCCCCCCTGTTCAATGTTGTGTCCCATTTCTCGTCAGGTTTGATTTGTTTTGGTTGGAGAAACATTGATTGGTGTGGGGGGAGGGGGAGGGGAGCGGTATTGTGTGTAAAAAAACTGTAATGATCCACTTACAATCTTAAACTACATGTGTCCCAACAACTTCTGAAAGTGATTGTACATTATATACCACAAATATTGTAAACAGTTAATAGGCCTACACTCTACTTAAGGGATATGCACTACACATGTCTTAAACTTTAATATCATTAATTTATGTCGAGTTAAAATTGCAAAATATAATATTTGATTTCCAAAAAACCCACAAGAGAAACCACAATGTATTTATACAGTATAACTGATTACTGAATAAGCTATAATCCTATGAATTACCTTGTCACCCTTGTAAGTGAAATTATCTTGTTTTGTATCATGTCAAAATTTCTTTATTTAGCTTGCATTTTATTTAAATTTTTTCAATCTCGTGCTTTCTTCATGCTACAAACATGTTTTATAAAATTTTTGATATCTATATCATATCCCAGTATCCAGAAACAGTATCGTCACGCATTCGAAAACTGTCGGCGTAATGCCGTAATGTTTAAATTACATGAAGTATATCGTATATAAATGGCAGGAATTCTAATTTCTAACAACAACAAAAGATCTATTGTATGGTATGTACGATGTAATCATTGTTTAATTTACTGTTTATTGTATATACAGGTCTGGGAAATTTAATAGATGAGAGTTGCAAATCGCTCATAACCTCACGTATATTTTTCGTTTGATGGCCACTGTAATTATAACTAGGAGCTAGAGTATAACCATGCACATGTCGAAGTACAACCATTGTATACAACGCAGTGCTCGATCTTACATGCAACAGTGCACAAATTACACGAGATGACTTTATTATATAAATCAACACTCGTACTCATTGATTTTCCTAGTCTCCTACTGCTGTTCTAATTAACAGCAATTAGGCTTTGAGAAGCCATGTAGATTATAGATTAATTTGTAGCCCAGCCTCCATAGTCCATATAAATTGTAGCCCAGCCTCCATTTACACCAATAATGAAATTAACTGGTAACTAGCTCAATTTTGTTGCTGGTAGTGTATGGGATCTATGGGTCTTTTAGATCCCAGAATTACCTAATTATTGTAAAGTCTGCATAAAGCAGAAAAAGGCTCTGTTTTTGTCAGTGACCGGTGTCTATTGAGTGACTAAATATTGTCAGCCTAATCCACTTATTTGATTGCTAATTCATGTTGCATTACTTTTGATTGCAAAGTACCTGGATTACATGATTTGCCCGCATGTTGGCGATTTTAAGCGATTTTAGGCGATTTAAGAGAAATTCGACAATTTTAACCCGCGATTTAATGCGATATTAGGCGATTTAAAGCGATTTAAGGCGATTTACCGCCCCAGACTAGGCCTAATACCATCATCACTATACATAAGAAAGACAGTAGCTGTAACTAGGGTGTATATATATATATATGTATATAGATATATATATATATATATATATATATATATATATATATATATATATATATATATATATATATATATATATATATATATATATATGCGCACGCTCACTGCTTGCAGTTTGAGCGCCCTGGCATGGTTTTGATGTCCCACAATTGTGAGGCATCAAAGGTAACTGTAAATAGCTGTTACTTTCATCCTGCTCATCAGCACTACACTGATGAGGCCCATAAGGCCGAAACGGTACCGTCTGTAGTTAGATATCGCTCTATGGCCTTTAGGTCATATCGAGCGCTCTACAGGATGAGCCATGCCGCTTACGCATTGCGCACGCTCACTGCTTGCAGTTTGAGCGCTCTGGCATGGTTTTGATGTCCCACAATCGTGAGGCATCAAAGGTAACTGTAAATAGCAGTTACTTTTCATCCTGCTCATCAGCACTACACTGATGAGGCCCATAAGGCCGAAACGGTACTGTATGTATGTATGTATGTATGTATGTATGTATGTATGTATGTATGTATGTATGTATGTATGTATGTATGTATGTATG